TTCTTATGTAACAGATATTTAGAAGAGACTCATCATGGGAAGAAAACAAGAGGCCACAGCTTAGACACAGGATGTGTATGTTAAATCCACAAGCAAAAGACCACTCATTTAGAGACTGCGAAAAAGGAAATATGTCAACAGAATTCATGACTCAAGTTTGATAGTGTGTTTATAAATATTTTCATTTGCTTTACATAAAATTCAGCCTTAATCAGAAGAATTATTCCCTTGCCAGGCTCCTCTGACACTGGGATTCCCCAGACAAGAATACTTGAGTGGGTTGCCATTTCCTTCTCCAGGGGATCTTCCTGACCCAGGGATAGAACCCAAGTCTCTTATGTCTCCTGCATTGGAAGGTGGGTTCTTTACCACTAGCACCACCTGGGAAGCCCTTGGAGGTAAAAGATACCATTAAAAATCTGAATATCTAACTCTAAACCTCAGCTAAAGCCATTCATTTATTTAAGACACAACGTAGAGCTTACTGAATCTCAGTTCCCTGGCCAGGTACTGACCCAAGGCCATGGTGTTCCAAACCACTAGACCCCATCTCACAATTTAGAATTTGAAATAATTCACATACCTAGAACTTACTATACTTTGCAGATAGATGTCATATGAGTATAGATAAAAATGTCAAATTAAATAAAATTGACTACATAGAAGATTGATACATTGAATGAGAAAAAAGAACTTAACTTCTTAGGTCTTTGCAATCGAACAATCTTTTGATCAGGGTAATGGTTTATTTAAAGCTGTGTGTGTGTGTGTGTGTGTGTGTGTGTGTGAGTTGCTCAGTCATGTTCCACTCTGCGACCCCATGGACTGTAGCCCTGCCAGGCTCCTCTTTCCATGGAATTCTCTCTCCAGGCAAGAATACTGGAGTGGGTTGCCATTCTCTTCTGCAGGGGATCTTCCCCACCCAGGGATCAAACCCAGGTCTCCCGCATTGCAGGCAGCTTCTTTACCAGTTCAGCCAATATGATTATAAAAAGTAAAAGGAAAATTTGAAAAAAAAAATGAGTGGAGGAAACAAATTAAAAATTGTTTGCAGAGCATGCCTATGATAGCCCAACTTCCCTACTGGTGATAATTAAAAAGACTGGAAAAAGCACAAATCAAATAAAACAATAGCAACAGCACTACCCTAATGTTTCTGTAGGGAGAGCCAAACAAAATTGGGGTTGTGGAGGGGAATGAAAACTAGTTTCCTTGTTTTAGTTTTTTTTTTTTTTTTCCCCCAGCCTCATTGTTATGCCTAGAGGGAAGGTGCTAGATAAGGAGTTTCAAAGTGATTCTGGACATAAAACACATCCAAAAATATAGAGGTATTCTGGAAAGAAGCCAATACAGGTTGGATAGTGTGGGGATTACCCCAGACAAGAGTTTGAGAAGGAGATGCCATGATTCTGGGTATAAAACCACAGAATACTCAGCCTAAACTCTGAACTCTACATACTTAGAACAGATACAAAATGCATAGCAAAGACATTAAGAAATCAACTGATATTTGAATAACTGATTATAGGAGACAACACAGAACTCAGGGATGATTATCTACTTAAAATACTTTTTTCCAGATGCTTGTTGAGACCCAGAGTCTGCACAGGATAATATTTATAGCATCCATGATACAATGCAATATTTCTCAATATTCCATGAACCAGGAAAATATGAACAATTCTAAAGGGAAAATACAATTAACATATGCACACTCCAAGATACCTCAAATGTTACAAATATTAAATATGGATTTTAGAGCAGCTAATTTAACCTTGGAAAGAAAGTTATGACCAACCTAGACAGCATATTAAAAAACAGAGACATTACTTTGCCAGCAAAGGTCCATCTAGTCAGGATATGGTTTTTCCAGTGGTCATGCATGGATGTGAGAGTTGGACTGTGAAGAAAGCTGAGCGCCGGAAAATTGATGCTTTTGAACTGTGGTGTTGGAGAAGACTCTGGAGAGTCCCCTGGACTGCAAGGAGACCCAACCAGTCCATCCTAAAGGAGATCAGTCCTGGGTGTTCATTGGAAGGATTGATGCTGAAGCTGAAACTCCAGTACTTTGGCCACCTGATGCAAAGAGTTGACTCATTGGAAAAGACCCTGATGCTAGGAGGGATTGGGGGCAGGAGAAGAAGGGGATGACAGAGGATGAGATGGCTGGATGGCATCACCGATTCAACAGACATGAGTTTGAGTAATCTGCGGGAGTTGGTGATGGACAGGGAGGCCTGGCGTGCTGCGATTCATGGGGTCACAAAGAGTTGGACACGACTGAGCGACTGAACTGAACTGAACTGAGTTTAACTATGTTGAATGAGGTAAACAAAAACATATACAGAATAAAGGTATATATAGGAAATCTCAGCATAAAAACAAAAAATACAAAATAGAAAAAAATAGAAATTTAGAGCTAAAAAATTAATATCTTAAATAAAACAAAAGTTTAACTGAATGGACTCAGTAGCAGTAAAGAGATTATCAGCAGAGAATCAGTTAACTTGAAAAGCAAACAACAGATATTGTCTAATCTAAAGAATAGTGAAACATAGATTTGTAACACTGAACAATGTCTCAGAGATCTTTGAGTCAAAACTGTATGTTTGTAGTTAAAAGTCCTAGAGATGAGAAAGAGATTAGAACAGAATAAATATTTATAGATTAAAAACTGTCAAATATATTGACAAACATAAATTTATAGATTCAAGAAATTCAGTATACCCCAAACAGGATAAACACAAAGAAAATCACACCTAGATATATCCTAGTCAAAATTATAAGCAACAAAGATGAAGAAAATAAATCGAAATCAGCTTTAGAAAAATGGCACATTGCATACAAGGGATAAATAAATCAAACTGCCATGGATTTATCATCAGAATCCAAGGAGATGAGAAGACAGAAGAACCTCATCTTTAAAGAAATGACAACCCAGAACTCCTTCCAAGGGAAAAAAATATCATCAGGAATGATACAGAGGGAGAACATTTTCAGATGAAAATAATAATAATAAAAAAGAATAGATGATATCCCTAACAGTCATGCTCTACAATAAATGGAAAAGAAATATCCTTAGACTGGAGGACAATAATATCAGAGGAAAATCTGGGTTTGTAAGGATGAAAGAAGACAAAAAAGAAATGATAAAACTATGAGCAAATAATATTTTTCCCTTTCAAGTTCCTTAATATAGCTATAATTCATTAAAACAAAACATCATAATTTCTGATGAGAGTCTCAATTAAGATGAATATGGGTGTAATACATATGACATCAAAAAAAATTTTTAAAAGATCAGTGTGGAGCACTTGTAAAGGCATCTGTATTGTTGCAAAGCTTTTACATTTAATAGAAAGTGTCAGATTATTAACTCTGAGAGACCCTGAATAGCTATTCGTACATCAGACAAAACACATCTAGTCAGGGATTAGTGGAGAAAATGAATCATTCATGAAGAAGACATATATTAGAGAGAGAAAAATGATTCACCAAAGATAAGTACATCCCAAACCTTTGAGTACATTAATTTACATGGGCCAAGGAACTTTGTAGCTGTGACTAAATTAAGGATGCTGGGTTGAGAAGATTATCCAGGATTATCCAATGTGGGTCCAATGAAATGGCAGGCAAGTCAAAGATAGAGAAAATGTGAAGAAGGAAGCAGAATCAATGTTGTGATGTGATGTGAGACTCATTGTACCATTACTGGCTTTGAAGATGGAAGGAGACTGCAAGTTTGTGGTTATATTCCAGAAACTGTAGAGCCTCCACAAAGAAACACAACCCTACAAACACTTGATTTTATCCCAGTAAGAATCCTTTCTTACCTCTGATATCAAGAGATTAAAATAATACATGGTATTGTTTACAGCAAGTAAATTCATGTTCACTGGTTATATCAACAACAAGACACTAAGAGAAGATACAGACTATAAATGTATATTGTGTCACTGGGCCTCAAAATACACAAAATACAAAAATAAACAGAATTAAAGAGAGAGAGAAAAAAGTTCACAACTATGGTAGAGGATTTTAACAACCATCACTCTAATAGAACAAAACAAATTTGGTGAATACATAGAAGATATAAAGAACATATATGTGTTTCAAGTACATATTATGTATTCACTAGACAGATCATATGCTGGGACATTAAACAAACTTCAAAAAATACAACAATAATCAAAACCATATAGAGAATATTTTTGAAGCAAAACTGAATTAAATTAGAAATTAGTAACAGTAAAATATCTAGGGAAATGCTACATATCTGAAGGCTAAACATATCCTCACAAATAATATTGACCAATGATGAAATAATCTACAAAAATATAAATTATTTTCAACTGACAGCCAAGAGAAACACAATAAACCACTATTTGTGGGATGCAGTTAAAGTATTGCTTAGAGAACAATTCCAGAAAAAGCTGAATAAACCAATATGTAAGCTTTTAAAAACAAAAAAGGACTGCACCTGTAATCAAAAACAACTTGAATTTGGTTCACAATCAGTCTTTGCAAAACAGAGTATCCTAAATACTGTATTTTAAATATTATACAATAATTTATGAGGACGTGAAATAATTCAACAAAACTTGAATGAGAAATGAAATTCTCACTAATACATGAAACACAGGACCAATAATATTAGGAATAAACAGATAAAAATCTAAGGAGATGTTTATCAATTACTGATAACTAATATAGTTCCATTTACACTGTGATTTAGGCTAAACGTTCTATTAAAAAGTCGCAATTTTTAGGGTAAGCAGTATTAAGACTATTAAATACAGTCAAATCTGTATTGTGAAATCTCCCATAACCTCCACTAGATGTCTCTAATAACTGACTTTGGCTACATTCCTTCTAATGTTATGCATCAAATACTGCAACATGAACTACATCTGTGTTTTGATTTTCCTACAAAATTTCATGTTTTTCAAAGAAGAAAAAAGTTGTCTTAATACACAACTGAAAAAATGAAAATAACTTACATTCAATATCAAGGTACATGCTCTTTTGGTGCCCTCCAATTCTACTTGCCGCTTCACAGTCGTATCTCCCTGAATCTGACAAGTCCACATCTTTAATGTGCAGTGATGAACTTCCATGCTGCCCTTTGACTTCGATACGTCCGTCTGGGCTCTGTTTACATTGATTCGGGGGAAAAAGGAAGATTTCATGCTTATTTTGTGTAAAGTGATGATGAAATATATTGCATTTATCATTGACATAACAGTTGAAAACACACTCTTAACTGTATTCAGTTTTTTATTTCAAAAAAGCACTGTTTCCATATTTATACTTTACTGGTTTTAGCTTATCCATTTTAGGTGCCCACTTGCTTACAGGGACACTGACGTGCACATAATAAAAACATGTTTTATCAACCTTTTTTATTTAGCATGCTCTTTGCTTTTCAGACGTTCACTTGCTTTTTATAAAGCTAGTATGTTCTTCTAGGGACTTTCCAGGTGGTGCAAGGATTTTGTTGTTGGCTTTCTGCTGTGTTCTTTGCAAACAGCAAAATGACAACAATGCCTATTTAATTCTGGCTACAGCTTACCAGCAAAAATACCTCTGCCGTACTTTAGTTTCTTACTTCACCACATAAGCAGAATGTACCAAGATTATGACAATTAAAGAATTTAAAAGGAATTTATAGTTTTCATTTTTGAATGAATGCAACAGTATTGCTTATAAGCATAACTGGTACCATATGCATCACAGATACACTATTAAAAGGAAGTCATTGGAAACAACATGGAAATGATTACTCACATACTCCACAAATATGATTCAAGTCAAGGAATTACTTATAATCCTATAGTCTATAGACTGTATTTCAAATAAGAATTATTGTGTGCAACACAATTAGCATATCCAGAATTGTTTTCTTAAATCATGTAAATACCTTAATAGCACACATATTAAAACAGAGGTAGTTTATTCATTCAATTTTACTTTTTACTATCAAGATTCACAGTGGACTTAACACTTAGACATCTGCTCTACCATTATCAAATTGATTCTTTTTAATATTTAATGTTTTAGTGTTCAACAGAATACTGTATGTCATTAATTTAATTGAAATATGTATGTTATTATACACAGTATAATGATTGTATAATTTTATATATGACAGATTCAAATAAATTTCAATGCATGTGTGTACTTTGCATTATTAAAGTGATGTTTAATCATTTTTATTAATATCAAAAGACTATGCTTTTGCATGGCTTGTGGGATCTTATTTCCTCCACTGGGGATCAAACCCAGAGCCACAGAAGTGAAAGCGTGCTTCTTAATCACTAAATCATCAGGGAAGTCCCTTACTGGACTATCTTAAAGGCCTTTTCAAATATGTTGATTGGGGTACAATATGGTTACTTTATTTGCTTTTAACTTCTATATTTGAATGCAATCATTAAATAATCCCATTAATTAGTGATAATTTATTATTTGAGAAATGGTCTTCAAAAATAAAGAAATAAGCAAAAGCATATTAGGGATGCAACTTAGACCAAAATTTTTGTCAAAAATATGTTCCCCACCTTCCAAGTATTGCTAAAGAAATAGTAAGCTGAAGTTTTCAATCTGAAGGGCATTCTATTCTGCCAATTTTTAAGGTGTTCAGCTGCTAAACCCATTTACTTAATTGAAAGAAAACAAAATGCAAGTATTCACAGAAGTTAAAAATCAGAAAGAATGAATAATTGGCCAAAGTAAAATGGCCAATTGTTATACAAGGTAACTAACTGCTATTTCATAACTAAAACAATATCCTTTGGCCTTTATTGCACCTCTATTCATTGTTAATTCCTGGTAGCTCATTTGGTAAAGTATGTCTGTGGTGTGCAGGAGACTTGGGTTCAATCCCTAGGTTGGGAAGATCCCCTGGAGAAGGGCATGGCAACCCACTCCAGTTTTCTTGCCTGGAGAATCCCCATGGACAGAGGAGGCTGGCAGCCTACAGTCCATGGGGTCACACAAGTCGGACATGACTTAGCAACTAAACCACCTCCACCATTCATTGCTAAATCCTATTGAACTTGCCTTCCTTTCTTCTATGCCGACTTCCCTTGACTTTCAGGACACCCACATGATCCTGATTTTTCTCCCAGTTTTAGTTGCAGCCTCCTTTGTTTTGGTTTTGATTATAGCCTCCTTGTTTCCTTGAGGTCTCTGTATTCTGGCCTGGACTCTAGAGCTTTTTTATTCAATTTCATTTGAGCACTCTTAGCCTGACCACGTCTACACCGAGATCTCTAGTCACTCTTTCTCCCTCAGGAGAGAGGAAAATAAGAGCTTCAGAAATAAGATACATCACATGCAGGGAAAGTCCATTTGATACAGATCTCAAACCAGCATGTGTAGATGAATGCATCACACCCACCCAGCATCACCTGCCCTCTCCCAGGTATCTTTCTTTCTATGAATGATATTAATACTAATTATTTCCCATGCCTCATGCTATACTATGTTCTCACTCTTGGATCAGTTGCTGAACCTTTATTCATCTATTTATATTCTAAGTAATGATCCATTTCAGTTTATCATCTTGCTTGACATTAGATTTCCAACTTTCAGGAACTGTGTTCCCGTAGACATATTTGCTTTCTCCCTCTCCATTCAGAGTTTCAGTGGTGCTGCTGAGTTGGAAGGATATTGACAGGCGTCTCTGGATTCCAGAGAGAACAATCACACTCAGGAAGAATGTAACCAAAAAAGCCTTCCTGACTCTGCAAAATTCTACATTATGTTATTTCCTATGTTTCTTTAGCAAAAAAATCATTCCAGCTGCAGAAATTTTTTCTTGTGAAGCTAAGAATAAGATGTTTTTTAAAAAAGCAAACTTTTATTTCTTGTAACTACTTTATGATGGTTTCACCACCAGTAATTTTCTATAATTACACATAACATTGTATCGCCTCCGCCAACTCCTTAGCCTGATGTTGATGGACTTCCATATGGCATTATCTTTCTGTTTAAGGACACCTTATAATTCGGGTATCAGTAATTTGGGTTCCAATTAATTTGAACTACTTGTACTGCAATGAATATCCTGTGCTATCTTTCTCTAAGCAGCCTTCACATATCTGCCTCTAATCCTTCCCCCTTTATCTCTTTCATATCTATATGGCAGAATTCTACCACCATTCTTTCCATTTCTTAGCCAAATACCAATTTATATTCATAATCCCTCATTGACCACTCTGTGTGTGTGTGTGTGTGTATAATATTCTGTGAAATCAATGCATTTCTTGGGACATATTGCTTTTTCCTGGTCTTATCTGAAACTTTGGGTTTTATCCTGCAGATTGATATTATAGTTGTACAAATTCAAGACATTTTAATGACACTTCATGTAAAAGTCATCTGGACTAGCATCTAGGACAGAATCAATACATTCTAATTTTTTATAAGGCAAATTAACTCATACTGAAATATACATATAATTGTATAAAGTAAATGTAATTCTTCAGCTATTCTTTACTATGGATGAAAAAGTTTGTACTTAATATATTTATTAGAATGCAGATAAGATACATTATTAATAATGTAAAACATCCTTCTTTCATTAGGGAAAATATTGTCCTTCTGCACATTAAAAAGTAAATTTACCCACCTTTAAAATAAACAAGTCCTTTGGTTATCACCTGTTATAAATGATATAGCTTTGACTTGTAGATAGCTATTCATGTAAGTTAGCATGTTATTAATATTAGTAAAAATGGTAGTATTTAAAATACTAAGGTAGTCAGTATACCCTATCTTTTTTCTTTCTCACATTCACGTGTTAAACTGTTTTAGAATCATTGACACTTTAGAGAAAACTGGGGATCCTGTCACTTAGTTACTCAACATTTTTATCTATGTTTGCAATTGTTTTACAATAAGCAACAATATAGCTGAAATTAACAGAGATTTAGGAAGAATATAATTTGTTCTATTTCTGGAAGGAGTGTGATTCCCTGAGAAATAAGTCATTTTTGGAGTTAACACTGTCTCTGTAATAATGCACAATATGCATTTGACTAGAAGACCAAAGTCATTTCTTCTCATTTCATATACCAAAGGGCATCTTTCTCTCTGTGCTACAAAAATATATTACACATTTCTGAAAGAAAATTCATTTATATATTGGCTTTGATTCACCACCTACAGAAGATTCATTTAAGACATCAGATATTTGACTGAGACAGGTTAATTGGTATATTAGCTGTTCATGTAGTATTTTCATTTTATATCACAGCATTAAGATGACTGGAAAGTAAAATGTCTGACCGTACATTATTCTTTCAATCTTTTACAAAGAGACACTCTCAGAAATTTGACTTGATATATCTTTTGCCTTTCTGAAGGTCAACTTAAGAACTGCTTGCTTGTGTAGTATTTCAGTATTTTTATAAAATGATTATTCATAGCACTTATTGTCCTTTCATTAATCTCTTAATCAAATATCTATGTGAAGACTATTATCTTGAGTTTAGTACAAAATAAACTTTTGTTTAACTGCTGTACACTTGAAATTACATAACATATATCATGGTTACTTTGTGGCTTTACTTGACTAGACTTCATTGTCAAATTTAGAATTCAGTTGCAGCAAACAATACATCTGAGGTGGTCAGAATTCCCTTCCTTCTTCCTCACACTTATGCCTTTGAATGTTTTTAGGGTCACTGACACTTTTGGCCTTTTGAGAAATGGTGGTTCACGTCAGTTACTCAACATTTTTCTGTATGTGTGCAATTGTTTTACAATAAGTGTCCAGGCACTGGGGATACAAGCTGAGCAAAACAGAATAATTTCCACCCTTGTAGAATTTAACTGAGAAGACAGATATCATTTTAAAAATAAAATACAAATAAATTGAAAAATACCACAGGTTCATTGTGGGGATATTATCGAAGGGGTGGGTCAGAGTCAGAGGTATATTCCTTGATACACTGAAGTGTGGACTAGAATCTGGAAATGGTGAAAGAGGTAGTGGTGTAGAGAGAATTCAGTGTTGTAGAGAGAATATGCCACCAGAAGGCTTTTGGAAAACCTGAGAGGACACAGCAGCTGTTGAGAAAAGGCTGAGAGCACATGGGATCCCCTGACATTGGAGGCGGATAGAGAACCAACCCATGAAGAAC